ACGCAAGACATGAAAAACATGCTCGGGTAAGTATTATTATGAAATTAAAAGTTGTAATTATGACTTCAAAAGTCACAATTATAACAAACCAAGTTGAAATTATGACATTATGCTTTTTTATCGCATAATTTTGACTTAATTTCGATTTAGTATGTCATAATTGAGACTTTCTAATCTCATAATTATGATTTTGTATGTCATAATTGTTACTTTATCTCATAATTGAATAATTATGATAATAGTATGTCAGTTTCACTGTCATTTTCAACTTTTTATCTCATAATTGACCATTTTGACTGTTTCGACTTAGTATGTCATAATTTCGATTTATCTCATAATTGACTTTTTATGCCAGAATTTTGACTTTATCTCATAATTATGACTCAGTATGTCATAATAGTGACTTTTTATCTCATAATTTTGACTTTATTTCATAACTATGCCACTTTTTGCCATAATTCAGACTTTTTAACTCATAATTATGACTTTTTGTCATAACATTTAAATTCATGATTTCAACTTTTCACCGAAACATGATTTTTGTCTTTTTCTTATATGGCTGAAATGGGCAAATGCGCTCTCTTTACTCCAGACAAGCATGAGCAGCAGAGGAAGGTCAGCGGACCGAGGCCCGCAGGTACAACAGTGTGGCTTTGACTGCATGTTTGTTTACATGCCGCCCAAAATTAGAGGGATGAAACTGTTTACCTGAAACAAAAATAATTTGGGGTTTTTAAGCAGCACAGAGCCTTATATCAGACACATCAGAGACGGCAGATTGATTCTGTACCTTATTTCTGTCCTGAACAACAAGTACTTTGCCGTTGGATTCGTCCACAACAGCACCTTTAAACAAGACACCGATAGTTCATGATTATACAGAATCAATGAGAAAAACAACAGACGTGAATAACTGAGAGGGAATGACTGTGAGTGTGTGTGTGTGTGTGTGTGTGTGTGTGAGAGAGAGTGAGTGTGTGTGTGTGTGTGTGGGTGTGTGTGGGTGAGTGTGTGTGTGTGTGTGTGTGAGTGAGTGTGTGTGTGTGTGTGTGAGTGTGTGAGTGAGTGTGTGTGTGTGTGAGTGTGTGTGTGTGTGTGTATGTGTGTGAGTGAGTGTGTGTGTGTGTGTGTGTGTGTGGTTTTATATTATCCACTCCGGAACTCAACTTCCCTCTCAGCGTGCGGTCACACACACACACACACACAGACTCACACACACACACACACACACACACACACACACACACAGACTCAAACCACAGATACAGACCAGCTGTTAACTTTATTTAACCCTGATAAAAGCTAATATTCAAAAAGTTAAATATCCTTCCATCTGTCTATCTATCTATATATCTATCTATATATATATTGTAGAAAAATCAGTCCGTCTGAAATCTGATCCTCAGGATCTTTTGAGGAGCGTTTGTTTCCAGAAGCTTTACTTTCACTGTTCCTCAGCGGAGGAATGATCTTCACAAGCCTCCAGAACATCTCACATCTTCTGAGGAGCCTTTATTTCTTCAGCTCTCCATCACTGCATTATATGTTTGGAGCATTTCACTCTCATCTCACTGAGACAGATTACTGGAGATATAGAGAGACTGATATTCAGATCATTTTATGTCAGTATCTGCTCTACTGTTATAAAGATCTCATTGATTTACAGCACAAGCAGCAGAAGCATCACAAGCTGTTTTTCCTCCATATTCTCACTCTATCAGACTATATGAGCCATAAAAGCCTGATGGATCAAATATGATACTCTACAAAAAACTTTAAGCTGTTATTGCTGTGAAAATTGTCCCATAAATGTTTAACAATTAACCCACCTACGGTCTAAATAAAAACACACAGAGGATGCTGGTTTGGAAGTCGTACAGAAAGGAAATGCGGTCGGATTATTCACTGCTAGAATATTCCAGATGTGGGCTTCAGCTTCACGGCATTCGGCTTTAATCAAACACAAGCACGCGTCGCGCAGCGGCTGCCAGACTGAGCTCATGCCGTCGCCCGGGCATCTTCTTCTTCTTCTTCTTCTTTGGGTTTTAACGGCAGCTTGCATCCTTAACGTTGCATTACTGCCATCTTCTGGTTCTAATTATTTCCCATATATTTTAGACATCATATTCTTGTCATGAGTCCCGTTTTAGTCAGAAAGCAAATCAAATATTTAATTCCTTGTTCACTCCTACTGCAGTCCATTATATCCTTTACTCCACGTCCTGTTAGTCCTATTTTTCCCATGTCATTTATCATGTCCATCCTCTGTAATTCATATTTTGAACAATTACTAAGCACATGTTCTACAGTCTCAGGTATTTGGCACTGTTCACAAAACCCAGTTGGATGTTTTCCCATAATATGAAGAGTGCTATTTAATTTATTATGCCCTATTCTTACTCTGGCCATAATAGTCTCTTCTCTCCTGTTTCCTCCCTTATTTTCCACAGTGCCAACTCTTTTTTTAATCAAATATAAATGTCTTCCTTTTAGTTCTTGATCCCACCTTTGTTGCCATTCTTTAATAATTTTTCCCCACACTATACTCTTTCCTTCTGATCTTGAAAGGCTGATGACTGCTTCTATGCTCTCTTTTTGCAGTGCTTTCTTAG